ACACACACACACCACTCAGTTTATATACATTGAGACACCACTCAGTGTATATACACTGAGAGACGCACCACTCTTTGTGTGTGTATATATATATATTATATATTTAATATATATATTATATATATATATATATATATATATATATATATATATATATTAATATATATATATATATAATATATTTTGTCGTGCCGAATATGTAAAACTGGTCAATTAGCAAGAACTTACTTAAAATTAAGTCCTTTGTAAAATTTTCTCTTATACGTTTAAAGATATATTTTTTTCATTAAAGTTAATGTAAAAAATTTTAATTTTGCACCAAAAGAATCTTAGAAAACTTATTATAACAAGAACAATTTATTTTAGTCTAACCCAACTATATATATTTTAGATTTGTTTACAATAATTTAGTACTAAACAAACACAGTGAAATATATTTTTTTCGTTAGGTTCAGAATGATTTTGGCGAAATTATTGCATACACAAATTTTCACTTGTCCTATATGGCAAGATGAACGTTGCTATTAGTGTGACCTAAGTGTAAGTAGAAGTAGCAAGACGTACCTGTAATCTTGCATATTTATGAGACAGACAAAAGACACCAGCAATCCTACCATCATGTAAAACAATTACAGGCTTTCGTTTTACACTCACTTGGCAGGACGGTAGTACCTCCCTGGGTGGTTGCTGTCTACCAACTTACTACCTTCAATATATATATATATATATATATATATATATATATATAATATATATATATATATATATATAATATATATATATATATAAATATATATTTATATATATATATATATAATATATTATTATATATATATATATATATATATAATATATATATATACAAAACAACCACTCTGAAAGAATAGAGAAATTCCAAGTGCTTTCGTGTCTACTCACATTATCAAGAATTTCTCTATTCTTTCAGAGTGGTTGTTTTGTATATTCTGAAATCACCTGTTTACTGTGATCTTATTGCATATATATATATATATATATATTATATATATATATATATATATAATATATATATAATATATATATATATATATATATATATATTGAAGGTAGTAGGTTGGTAGACAGCAACCGCCCAGGGAGGTACTACCGTCCTGCCAAGTGAGTGTAAAACGAAAGCCTGTAATTGTTTTACATGATGGTAGGATTGCTGGTGTCTTTTGTCTGTCTCATAAATATGCAAGATTACAGGTACGTCTTGCTACTTCTACTTACACTTAGGTCACACTACACATACATATACAAGCATATATATACACGCCCCTCTGGGTTTTCTGCTATTTTCTTCCTAGTTCTTGTTCTTGTTTATTTCCTCTTATCTCCATGGGAAAGTAAGCCATGCGTGTTTTAAGAGGCGATTAAAATGCCGGGAGCAAGGGGTTAGTAACCCCTTCTCCTGTATATATTACTAAATGTAAAAGGAGAAACTTTCGTTTTTCCTTTTGGGCCACCCCGCCTCGGTGGGATACGGCTGGTGTGTTGAAAGAAATATATAAATATATATATATATATATATATATATATATTATATATATATATATATATATATATATATATATATATATTATTATTTCATTATTTTATTAACACATCGACCGTCTCCCACCAAGGCAGGGAGGCCCGAAAAAGAAAAACTTTCATCATCATTCACTCCATCACTGTCTTGCCAGAAGGGTGCTTTACACTACAGTTATAAAACTGCAACATTAACACCCTTCCTTCAGAGTGTAGACACTGTACTTCCCATCTCCAGGACTCAAGTCCGGCCTGCCGGTTTCCCTGAATCCCTTCATAAATGTTACTTTGCTCACACTCCAACAGCACGTCAAGTATTAAAAACCATTTATTTCCATTCACTCCTATCAAATACGCTCACACACGCTTGCTGGAAGTCAAAGCCCCTCGCACAGAAAATCTCCTTTACCTCCTCCCTCCAACCTTTTCTAGGCCTCCCCCTACCCCGCCTCCCCCCACTACAGATTTATACACTCTCGAAGTCATTCTGTTTTGTTCCATTCTCTCTACATGTCCGAACCACCTCAACAACCTCTCCTCAGTCCTCTGGATAATAGTTTGGGTAATCCCACACCTTCTCCTAATTTCCAAACTACGAATTCTCTGCATTATATTCACACCACACATTGCCCTCAGACATGACACTGCCTTCAGCCTTCTCCTCGCTGCAACATTCATCACCCATGCTTCACACCCATATAAGAGCGTTGGTAAAACTATACTCTCATACATTCCCCTCTTTGCCTCCAAGGACAAAGTTCTTTGTCTCCACAGACTCCTAAGTGCACTACTCACTCTTTTCCCCTCATCAATTCTATGATTCACTTCATATTTCATAGACCCATCCGCTGACACAATCAGTAGTATTAAGATCTACATTATTTAGTTTATATGTCGCATGGTTATTTTCCTGTCCACTCCTAAATATCTGAATATATTCGCCTCCTCCATATTCTCTTCCTCCAATCTGATATTCAATCTTTCGTCACCTAATCTTTTTGTTATCCTCATCACCTTACTCTTTCCTATATTCACTTTTAATTTTCTTCTTTTACATACCCAACCAAATTCATCCATCAACCTCTGCAACTTCTCTTCAGACTCCCAAAAGCACCGTGTCATCAACAAAGAGCAACTGTAACAACTTCCACTTTGTGTTTGATTCTTTATCTTTTAACTCCACGCCTCTTGCCAAGACCCTAGCATTCACTTCTCTTACAACCCCATCTATAAATGTATTAAACAACCACGGTGATATCACACATTCTTGTCTAAAGCCTACTTTTACTGGGAAATAATCTCCTTCTCTCCTACATACTCTAACCTGAGCCTCACTATCCTCGTAAAAACTCTTCACTGCTTTCAGTAACCTACCTCCTACACCATACTTCTGCCACATTGCCCCCCTATCCACCCTGTCATACGCCTTTTCCAAATCCATAAATGCCACAAAGACCTCTTTAGCCTTATCTAAATACTGTTCACTTATATGTTTCACTGTAAACACCTGGTCCACACACCCCCTACCTTTCCTAAAGCCTCCTTGTTCATCTGCTATCCTATTCTCCGTTTTACTCTTAATTCTTTCAGTAATAACTCTACCATACACTTTATCAGGTATACTCAACAGACTTATCCCCCTATAATTTTTGCACTCTCTTTTATCCCCTTTGCCTTTATACAAAGGAACTATGCATGCTCTCTGCCAACCCCTAGGTACCTTATCCTCTTCCATACATTAATTAAATAATAGCACCAATCACCCCAAAACTATATCCCCACCTGGTTTTAACATTTCTATCTTTATCCCATCAATCCCAGTTGCTTTACCCCCTTTCATTCTACCCACTGCCTCACGAATTTCCCCCACACTCACAACTGGCTCTTCCTCAGTCCTACAAGATGTTATTCCTCCTTGCTCTACAGACGCAATCAGAGCTTCCCTATCTTCATCAACATTTAACAATTCCTCAAAATATTCCCTCCATCTTCCCAATACCTCTAACTCTCCATTTAATAACTCTCCTCTCCTATTTTTAACTGACAAATCCATTTGTTCTCTAGTCTTTCTTAACTTGTTAATCTCACTCCAAAACTTTTTCTTATTTTCAACAAAATTTGTTGATAACATCTCACCCACTCTCTCATTTGCTCTCATTTTACATTGCTTCACCACTCTCTTAACCTCTCTTTTTCTCTCGATATACTCTTCCCTCCTTGCATCACTTCTACTTTGTAAAAACCTCTCATATGCTAACTTTTTCTCTTGCTACTCTCTTTACATCATCATTCCACCAATCGCTCTTCTGTATATATATATATATATATATATATATATAATTATATATATAATATATATATATATATATAAAATTTTATATATATATATATATATATATATATATATATATATATATATATATCGTGCCGAATATGTAAAACTGGTCAATTAGCAAGAACTCATTTAAAATTAAGTCCTTTCTGAAATTTTCTCTTATACGTTTAAAGATATATCTTTTTCATTAATTTTAATGTAAAAATTTTTAATTTTGCACCAAAAGAATCTTAAAAACTTACCTAACCTTATTATAACAAGAACAATTTATTTTAGCCTAACCCAACTAAATATATTTTAGATTTGTTTACAGTAATTTAATACTAAACAAACACAGTGAAATATATTTTTTTCGTTAGGTTCAGAATAATTTTGGCGAAATTATTGCATACACAAATTTTCACTTGTCCTGTATGGCAAGATGAACGTTGCTATTTAAGCCAAGATCGCAAATTCTGCCTATTCGGCACGACATATATATATATATATATATATATATATATATATATATATATATAATATATATATATATATATATATATATATATATATATATATGTGTGTGTGTGTTGTGTGTGTGTATATGTATATATATATATATATATGTATGTATATATATATATATGATACATTGTGGAATAACACTTCAATTAATACGTCAATATTTTAATATTTCGATCTCACAAAAAAATGTTATTGTTCTGGGTGGAAATTTCCAGTCTCTTTATGATCCCTGTGGGTTTAGTGCTTCAGCTTGGTGTGTGGGGTAGATGTGTGTGGGTATGTGTGTGAGACATCTGTGGTGGTTCATGAGACGGTAGGTGGAGGGAGGCACCTGTGTGTGTTACACAGGTGTTATTCCTACGTCTTTCCTTTCATTGTCAGTAGTACTTTGCTATAAATTTCCTTCAGCTTACCCTGTCAGGGTGTTAAATTCCTCTCCCACCTTTCTACACTTTCGGCATTTCTAACTTAACACCTGTATTACCCCTATCAACACCAATATTAGCCCCCTTCCCTGTCAACACTTGTATTACCCCTGTCAACACTGCCAAGTGCACCTTCCTAAGCTCGTTTGTTGAGCGCATGTTGGCTCTCATCTCGCAACTTACAGGAGCTCCCGACACGCTGAGTCAATCTGACTTCCTCAACAACAAGTACAACGACAGCTACAACAACAGCTTCAACAGCAACAACAGCAACAGTTCTTCCAACTCCCCCCCTGCCCGCATGCAGCCCGGGGGACGCTTTCCCTCCCAGACTGCCCCTGCCAGGCTGGGCATGTGGGACGAGTCCAACGATGACAAGATATTAAAGGTTTCACACTCAGTGCATGTTCAGCCAGTGATACTCATGATTAGCTCACTCTGCATGATAAATAAACTGTGTGAGGGATAGATGCTGCCTCTGAACTGACGACTGTCTAGCACTGTCAATTAGAACTGATCAAGGTGCCAGGGAAATGTGTCTGAACTGACGATTCTCTGGCACTCTCCCTCAGAACTGATCAAGGGTGCCAGAGGAAGCTCTTGTTTTTGTGGGTTAGTGAGATTTTACCAGCCTGATACACCTTTGCTTAATGCCTTAACACGTGCCTATCCACCACACATGCATGCCTGGTTAATACTCCCTTACAGAGGTGCCATCCTGGTCAATATCTCTGGTGTTCTTTGTAAATATTACCTTCCCAGTCTCCCTTTATATCCTTCAAAGTCAAGATGTTGATCAATAAAGCACCTGTGCTATCTTTACTGGGTATCTTTACCGGGTATCTTTACTGGGTATCGTTAGTGGGTATCTTTACTGGGTATCTTTACTGGGTATCTTTACTGAGAGATACTTCACCTCTGTATTTATTTGATAAAGTCTGTTGTGCAGGCGAAGCGTCTCTTCAGTAAAGACAGCAAGGTGTTGACATGTGCCCTCAATATTTAACTGCATGAAATGGTACATTGTGTGAGAAGATGGTAAGTAGCGTGTCAGTGCAGTGGTACACAGGTATCATTTGACACCGTTCTGCAAATGTGCTCAATAATTAGAGAATGATGGCCTACTGTGTAACATTAATTGTGAGCGACTGAAATTTGCTTAAATGGTGAAGATATGGCATTGGTGAGGACAAGTGCTGAGGAAATGAACAGTGCTGAGGACAGGACAATTGCTGAGGATGGACAGTAGTTGAGGTAATAGGGATAGGCTGTGTATTACATTAGGTAGCAGCAGGGCCGTGCCCGCCAAGGTTCGCTTCAAGCTGTGTATGGGGGCAGCAGCATCATGCGACCAGCCTCTGAGCTGAGGACACCGTGGAGGAGAGACTCTCTCAGCAGGACAGGGAAACCTGAGGATTTCTTACAGTTCGACCGCAAAAGAAATATTTTCATTCAGTTACGTGCGCACGCTGAGCAGCTCTCGTAGCCCTTGTCTGATAGGCTGTCACTGCCTTGAATTAGAATCTGTAGGTTTGTCTTGAGTAGGCACTATAGGGAAGACCTTTTTCACCTCGTAGATGTTTCTGTAGGTCGTGAAATGTATGTAGCTTGTTTAGGCTTCTTCTACGACTGAAGTGTTTCAATAGATCTGCATGAATTGTTTTGACAGGTTTCGTTAGTTGGTGTAGCGCACATGAATTTTCTTCCCTGTTCAAGCTGTGCAGTTTTCTGCCATTGACGAGCTTCAGAGTGTTGACTTAATCATTTCACTAGGGGTTGAATAGTTATATGGGTTAGTTTGCTGCTTGGAAAAGTGTTGGGCTGTGTTGCGCGTATTAACCTGTGTGAGCTGTGTTGATTGTGTGATGTGTTGGGAATGTTGCTGTAGTTGGCTGTGTTGAATGTTGGGCTGTGTTGCTCGTGTAGACTTTTTGGGCTGAGTTGTCTGTGATTGGCTGTGTTGCTCTATATTGTCTGTGTTGGGCTGTGTTGCTCATATTGTCTGTGTTGGCTGTTGCTCTGTGACAGTGTGGCATGTTGCTCTCTACACCTAGTTGTACTCACCTAGTTGAGGTTGAGGTGAGTCCAAGCTCTGCACCGCCTCTTCATGGTCTCACTAGGTCACTCTCGAACCATGAGCTTTATCGTACTCGCTTAAATTTGTATGGACCTGCCTTGATAACGCTTCCCAAATATCCGACTCCGTGACTACTCTGTGCTGAGAATACTTCCTAACATCCCTGTGATTCGATCTGTGTCTTCAGTTCAACTGTGTCCCGATGTTGCTGGGTCCAGTTCGGAACTCTGTCAGGTACTGTTTGGGCTGTGTTGCTCTGTGTGACATTTTGGGCTGAGTTGCTCTGTGTTGACTGTGTTGGGCTGTGTTGCTCTGTGTTGACTGTGTTGGGCTGTGTTGCTCTGTGTTGACTGTGTTGGGCTGTGTTGCTCTGTGTTGACTGTGTTGGGCTGTGTTGCTCTGTATTGACCAGTGTACGACCTAGTGTTGCCTGTGTTGACTGTGTGGGCTAGTGTTGCCTGTGTTGACTGTGTTGGCTGTGTATGCTCTGTATTGACAGTGTGGCTGTTATGCTCTGGTTGACTGTAGTTGGGTGTGGTTGCTCTGTATTGACAGTGCTTGGCAATTTGCTCTGCTGTGACTTGTGGCTGTGATTGCTCTATGACAGTGTTGGCTGTGTTGATCTGTGTGCTGTGTTGGGCTGTGTTGCTCTGTGTTGACTGTGTTGGACTGTGTTGCTCTGTGTTGACTGTGTTGGACTGTGTTGCTCTGTGTTGACTGTGTTGGACTGTGTTGCTCTGTGTTGACTGTGTTGACTGTGTTGCTCTGTGTTGACTGTATTGGGCTATGTTGAGCTGTGTTGCTCTGTATTGACAGTGATGGCCTGTGTTGCTCTGTGTTGACTGTATTGGGCTATGTTGAGCTGTGCTGCTCTGTGTTGACTGTGTTGGGCTGTGTTGACTGTGTTGAGCTGTGTTGCTCTGTGTTGACTGTGTTGGGCTATGTTGAGCTGTGTTGCTCTGTGTTGACTGTGTTGCTCTGTGTTGACTGTGTTGAGCTGTGTTGCTCTGTGTTGAGCTGTGTTGCTCTGTGTTGACTGTGTTGAGCTGTGTTGCTCTGTGTTGACTGTGTTGGGCTATGTTGAGCTGTGTTGCTCTGTGTTGACTGTGTTGTCGTTTGACTGTGAGCGTGTTGCTCTGTGTTGACTGTGTTGGGCTATGTTGCTCGTGTTGCTCGTGTTGACTGTGTTGCTCTGTGTTGACTGTGTTGGGTTGGTTGCTCTGTGTTGACTGTGTTGGGCTATGTTGCTCTGTGTTGACTGTGTTGGGCTGTGTTGCTCTGTGTTGACTGTGTTGGGCTATGTTGAGCTGTGTTGCTCTGTGTTGACTGTGTTGACTGTGTTGTCTGTGTTGCACTGTGTTGACTGTGTTGGGCATGTGAGCTGTGTTGCTCTGTGTTGACTGTGTTGGGTGTGTTGCTCTGTGTTGACTGTGTTGGGCTATGTTGCTGTGTGCTCTGTGTTGACTGTGTTGGGTTGTGTTGCTCTGTGTTGACTGTGTTGGGCTGTGTTGCTGTGTTTGACTGTGTTGGGCTGTGTTGCTCTGTGTTGACTGTGTTGGGTTGTGTTGCTCTGTGTTGACTGTGTTGGGCTGTGTGTCTGCTGTTGCTGTGTTGACTGTGTTGGGCTGTGTTGCTCTGTGTTGACTGTGTTGGGTTGTGTTGCTCTGTGTTGACTGTGTTGGGCTGTGTTGCTGTGTGTTGACTGTGTTGGGCTGTGTTGCTCTGTGTTGACTGTGTTGGGTTGTGTTGCTCTGTGTTGACTGTGTTGGGCTGTGTTGCTGTGTGTTGACTGTGTTGGGCTGTGTTGCTCTGTGTTGACTTGTGGGTGTGTTGGGCTGTGTTGCTCTGTGTTGACTGTGTTGGGTTGTGTTGCTCTGTGTTGACTGTTTTGGGCTTGTTGTCTGGTCTCTGTGTTGACTGTGTTGGGCTGTGTTGCTCTGTGTTGACTGTGTTGGGCTGTGTTGCTCTGTGTTGACTGTGTTGCTCTGTGTTGCTCTGTGTTGACTGTGTTGGGTTGTGTTGCTCTGTGTTGCTCTGTGTTGACTGTGTTGGGCTATGTTGAGCTGTGTTGCTCTGTGTTGACTGTGTTGGGCTGTGTTGCTCTGTGTTGACTGTGTTGGGCTGTGTTGCTCTGTGTTGACTGTGTTGGGTTGTGTTGCTCTGTGTTGACTGTGTTGCTCTGTGTTGCTCTGTGTTGCTCTGTGTTGGGCTGTGTTGCTCTGTGTTGGGCTGTCGGTGAGCTAGAGACCATGTCGAGCACTGACTTGCGTAACACTGTGTCATGCGTCAATAAAAACTTAGGTAAGACACACAGAAGGTGTAGCTTGTGTAACACTGTCTTGGGTACGACTGTACCTTCTTGTACTGTAACCTGTTCCAGTGTACCTTCCTCAACTGCAGCCTGTACCACTGTGCCTTCCACTACTGTAACCTGTACTATTGTACCTTCCTCAACTGTAGCCTGTACCATTGTACCTTCCTCTACTGTAACCTGTACCAGTGTACCTTCCTCAACTGTAGCATGTACCATTGTACCTTCCTCTACTGTAACCTGTACCAGTGTACCTTCCTCAACTGTAGCCTGTACCATTGTACCTTCCTCTCTGTAACCTGACCGTGTACCTCTCAACTGTACTGTACCATTGTACCTTCCTCTACTGTAACCTGTACCAGTGTACCTTCCTCAACTGTAGCCTGTACCATTGTACCTTCCTCTACTGTAACCTGTACTATTGTACCTTCTTCAACGGTAACTGTAATGTACCTTCCTCTACTGTATATGTCATGTACCTTTCAACTCTACTGTAACTAGTACAATTGTACCTTCCTCTACTGTAACCTGTACTATTGTACCTTCCTCTACTGTAACATATACCGTTGTACCGTCCTCTACTCTAACCTGTACCATTGTACCTTCCTCTACTGTAACCTGTACCATTGTACATTCCTCTACTGTAACCTGTACCGTTGTACCTTCCTCTACTGTAACCTGTACTATTGTACCTTCCTCTACTGTACTGTACCATTGTATTCCTCTACGTACGTCATGTACCTTCCTCTACTGTAACCTGTACTATTGTACCTTCCTCTACTGTAAATGTACCATTGTACCTTCCTCTACTGTAACCTGTACTATTGTACCTTCCTCTACTGTAACATGTACCATTGTACCTTCCTCTACTGTAACCTGTACCATTGTACATTCCTCTACTGTAACCTGTACTATTGTACCTTCCTCTACTGTAACATGTACCATTGTACCCTCTGTAGACTGCGAATTTTTGTTAGTGACCTGCAGAATCAATCAAGTG